TTGGCTCTTCATCCTTGAGGCAGATGGGTTGTATCAGTGTCGGTACTAAGCCCATTTTCCTGTGTTTCTGTGCCTTCTAGGTCACTGAGGAGACAAGCCTCGTCCTGCAGACCCTCGGATACACATGCACCTGTCGAGGAATAATCAATGTGAAAGGAAAGGGGGACCTGAAGACATACTTTGTAAACACAGAAATGTCAAGGTCCCTTTCTCAGAGCAACGTGGCATCCTGAAGAATCACCTTCATTTTGGCAAGAAGACTGTATTTCCAGGAAGTTACCACACACTTTCTGACTGCAACTTCTGTCCCTCGTTTTTGATGTGCGTGCTCTGTCTGTCCTATGGAGCCTCTGCAGACTCGTTCCCATGACCCAGTGGCATACCGTTTGGTGTCTGACGTGTGCCCAGATCGTTCTGCCACTTGCACTGTGCTTGCTCCTAAGCAAAAGGGAAAAGGAGCGTGCATGATAGAAGAAAAGCATCCAGAGAACTAACAAAGAGGAGAGAGGTGAAACACACACACACATTCTTAAGGCAATAAAACTAGGGGGTGTATATTATCTTCTGGTGCATGTTCTTTTCTGGAAAATAACGTAGCTCGCCAACCACATCCGCTCGTCTGATACTCAACCACACAGTATTCGTGAATAAGTTGATTCTGTCCCCCACATGGAGTCTGTGCTTACCTGTCATCTCATTGCCAGTGGTGTCCAAGGGCCCCCGTTGGGACCCACGGCTCTCGTCCCTCTGCTCCATGTGCCTCATGCCAGCAGCACGTCACCATCCATCACCAGAGTTAGTCCTCACAGCCTAGGACCAGTTTTGTACCAGACTCGTCTGATGTTTTGATGCCATTTGTCTTTTGTAAAGTTAATTCATTAAAAGTTTTACGTACTTTGATTTACAGTGCCTGTATCTTATTTTCCTGTCTTCTTTCTCCTGTGGTTTGCTCCAGAATTCAAGTTTGTTTTCCATCCATTCTCCCTTTTGACACAGTTGATTCAGAAAGAGCTCTCCAGAAGCCAATACTGAGATGTAATTCAGATTAGGACACAGTGTGTGACGCAGATAATTTGGTTACTCAGCTCCCTGGAAAGCGGGCAAGCATGCTCAATGTACCTAGTGGTCTGATTTTAATTTGGGCATCTCTAGAGAACATATTCAGGGAAAAATACTTTAACAGTAAAAAGATTGTCTGCGAGCAACAGTGCCCCCTCTGTCCACTACGCTCCTGTCTACAGGAAGAATGTTTTGTTAGAGCTAACAGACATAGACTGCAAAAGAATAATTTGGAAGAAGCTATGCAAATCAGTCTCACAACAGCGTGAACTAACTGCTAGAAGTACTAAGTCCCACTAACTGCCTGTTACGTCTGAGAAGGCGAAAGAAGACACACAGCCAACGCTTATGCATTTTTAAAGGCAGAAGACCTTGAAGAATTTGTTCTTGTAAATCCAACACAAGTTGTTTCGTACTTTTAACATAAAGAAATCATACTTTGCCAAATAGTGAAAAGTAGAGCAATCGTGTGTAATCTAATGTTTAAAAGCAAAACTGCAAATCATAGCCTAGTTGATCAAACTTGTTTTCTTTTTATAGCTCATGGCAGGCATCTGTAAGAGGCAGAGGACCCAGATGACCTCATAGGAGGCCTGTTATTCGTGGGAACTCGAACTTGAAGCACAAGTCCCTGGTTTGATTCCTGGCTCTGATTTTTTACTAGCTGTGTGACTTTGAACACATCTCTTAGCCCCTCTTAGGAGTACTTTCCTTATTGGCAACTCATGGGATCGGTAGTGATTAAATGAGGCAATGACTGTGAGCAAGGCTGGCAGGTGCCCTGTGGCATTCACAGCATGGTGCAACTGCTGTGCCAGGACTGTGATTCATTCCCAGTAAAAAGCACTTACAGAAGCTGATAACCGTCCCTCATCACCAAAGTGTGAGTAGAGCATGACTTATTCAGTATTCTGCTTCAATCGAGAATTTTTTGATCCTGTAATCACAACTCGGCATTGGCCTTAATATACCCAAATCTCCAATAACAGTCATTGAAGCAAGAGAACTATTCCAAAGGCATTTTTGTTCCCTCTAACCGAAATCTGGACTAGGATGCCATTGTGTTTCCGTGAGCTCAAACTGCTTTAGAATTTATAAGATGAGCAGCAGATGTGCCTCGTAGGTTCTTCCTCCCTTACCATCCTAATTACACTCATCCTCAGGTCACCTTAGGTCATCTATCCTGAGTGAACACCCCCAGCTGAGTGATCCACCAAGTTCTCATAAACGGAGTCCCTACCACTCCCCCAAGGGATGCACTGAACTTGAGTTTGTGCTGAAAAGAACTCAAAAGGAGAACTGTGCTCTCCCAAAGCCATGTCACCAGTCCTACCAAACAATAGGCTTTTAAAAGCAATCAGAGTCTGTCAGAATCCACTGTGGGAAGCTCCATGTGGGCCCTTCTAGGTGTGGTCCCATAGCAGCAGCCTTAGCATCACCTGGGAGCTTGTCAGAAATGCAGATTCCCAGGCCCCAACCTGAAGGAGGACCCTGAATCTGAAATCCCTGGGGTGGGGGACCAGCACAATCATTGTCTAGTGAACAGGTTCCCCAGGTGATGCTGATCCCTGATCAAGCTTGAGCACGCCCTCCTTCCCTCCCCAGTGTTTCTGCAAATGAGGAAACAGGGGCAGAGTAGCTCAGGCACATGTGTTCAGAGTTCCACAGCTGGTTAGCAGTCGAGGCCAGGCTAGAGCGGAAAGCTGCCTGTTCCCTGAATCTGAAAGAGCATTCATCCTGGTCAAAGCTCCTTAAAGCTCTGAGCAGCTAAAAGCATCCCTGTGAGCAAAAATGCCACGCAGAAAACCTAAAGGGCACCGCTTATCAGCCCAGGTCCGAGTGCTATTGGTTTCAAGAAGAAACCTCTCCCTAATGCTCTCCTTAACCTTTAAGTCTTACAGGAAGCCTCTCATGAAAATTGCCTCTAGTCCAGTTGCCGAAAACCCCAGTGTTTTATGTATCTGTTTAGAAATGTCTAAGTTTTATCATCAATCCACAATGTTATTTTTCCTTCCCAATTCAATCTGCTCCTAAAGGCAGAACCATTCATCTTTCCTCTGCTCGGATACATGAATGACCAGGAAACATCATCAGGCCAGGTGCAGTGGCTCATGCCTGTAACCCTAATATTTTGGGTGGCCAAAGAGAGAGAATCACTTAAGTCCAGGAGTCTGGCCTGGGCAACATAGCGAGACCACATCTCTACAAAAAATAAGAATATTAGCTGGGGATGGTGGCATGAGCCTGTAGTCCCAGCTACATGGGAGGCTGAGGTGGTCAGCTCACTTGAGCCCAGGAAGTCCAGAATGCTGTGAGCCTTCATTACACCACTGCACTCCAGCCTGGGTGACAGAGCGAGACTTTGTCAAAAAAAAAAAAAAAGAAAGAAAAGAAAAACCTAATTGCCCAGTGATGAAAATTTTATAAACAAAACAAATCATACTATAAGAATATATTATCTTACATACAATGACTTTAACAAGCATTCATTCATTGGCTTTAAATGATAAACATTGGGATACCAAGATAAATACACGTAATTTTCTCTTACTGCTTAACAAATGTGAGATTTTTTCAAATCTCGGCCAATTACAGCCCTGCCTATTGAAAGTCAGTATGTAGTAGAAGGTGAAGGGAGAAAGGTCTGACTTAAAGTAAATGACAATAAGTTACTTTGACATCAGTTTATTGCAGTCACTTACAGATGCTTTGTCTTTGTTGAAATCAAGTCTGAATAATGAATAATTTATAAATATTTCTATAACCCAAACTTTATATATTTTCTATTATGTTATTATAAATGTGGTATAATGCACCCAAAGGCATTCGAAATAAACGACTGCCATTTGTTTGAAATAAATAAAAGGCACTTACACTGAAAAACTGTTTTCAGAAAAATAAATATTTAGGAGTCACTCAGCCTTGAAATCGCTGGCAATTCAGTGTCATTTATTTTTAGAGAATCCTCTTGGCAGATTCAAAACGATAAAACCAGTGATGGAGGAATCAGCATTGAACTTAATTAGACCACCTGCCCATTCACTGCTAAACTGTGGGAAATTTAATCATGGTAGATGAGAGATGAGTTCTTCCAAGGGATCCATTCATTAAAAACGTAGTTGATGCCTTAATACTTGGGTAAGTTTCAAATTATCTCCAAAGTAAGTATTTTCAACTTAGGTTAAAAGCAACTGCATCCAAAAAGAAGACTGTTTAAAGTCAAGTCACTGCTGTGATGATGGGACCCTGGGCGGGGCATGCACATTGTGCTCGTGTTATGCCTGCAATCTAGCAGCTCACTGCCTCCCAAATGAACTCTTCTAGGTTTGGAAATTCCACTTTAAAGATGAGGACTTGTCTGCTCAAATAGATGACATGACTTGCCCTAGAACACAAATCTAGAAAACGCAGCAGCCAGAATTCTACCCGAGTTCGTTGAACACCAAAGTCTCTTCCCATGACTGGCCCCCTCTCCCTGAGCGGTGACAGTGAACACTGCTGGCCACCAGGATAACAGGGCCACCCATCTTACTAGGGCTCCCAGTCCCAGTTGCAAAAAAATCTGTTATTTGTGGTTCAGACCTCTGGAACAACAAAAATGTAGTTTCTAGAGTTTGACTGTGCCAACAGACAATTGTCATTACATCTCCTCTTGGAGGAGGGAACATGTCAGAGTTGTCTGTGTTATGAGGCAGCAGGAGTTCCCATAACTCTTGGGAAACATAACTGCACCTCACTCCTGTGACTGCCTCCCCAAAGAATCCTGGCAAATGTAGACAGCCAGTGAACAAAAGCCAGCCCAATCATTACTAAGGGGAACAAAGTTTTCATTTTATTCAGGTGCTCACAATGAATCAGTCTCCAGTATCATTTGATCAAAAATAATTCCAGCTAAAGATCATCCCACTAGAGACTCTTCACGTGTACTACAGGTGTTTGCTCAGGCTCCTTGCCACAGCAGCCTGAGGGAGGCTGCTAATGTGTTCATGTGCCCACAGTAGAGATGTAACACAGGCATAGCCAAGCTCCTAGGTGTCATGAGAAGGGGAAAGAAGGCTCCAGACACCACCTTCTCACTGTAAAACTTTGCCAGCCCACGGGGTATCGTGACACACCCTGTGGGCCACAGGGATGCTTCAGGCTGGAGCAATGTGCCCAAAGCCAGGTGCCCTGAGGCTGGGGATGTCATTCTTCCTGTAGAAGTCAGCCTGTACGTGGTTGGCGCGACCGAAGTCCCGGTTTAGGGGTTCAATGGGCTGATTGATGCGCTTCCCATAGACAGAAGACGTCAGCACACCAACCGGCCTCTCCTGTTCCTGGTGAAAGTTGTCAAAGCACATAGTCAGCACCACTGCATTCACCAGCACAGCTCACCCGCATGTCCATCAGCCTCAGTACTGGGAGCTTTTTCTGCCACGGTGGACCAAGAGGATGCCTCCATGCTGAAGCCAGGGGGTCTCCTTCAACTGTCCCAGACCATTTGCTCTACCTGTCTGTCCTTGTGCTCTTTCTGGTCATTTCCCTCTCCTGCTGCTGCTGGTCCCTTCCCACCACCCAGATCCTGGCTCAGATGTCCAGGTCCTCCCTGGCCCCGCCTCTCCCCAGCTCCCTGCTCATCCCTTTCACTTTCTGCATCTCCTCACATCCTCACATGGCTTCCTCTTCCTATATACCACCACTCATCACTACCTAGAATTTGCTCATGATTTCTTTTTTTTTTTTTTTTCGAGATGGAGTCTTGTTCTTGTCGCCTAGACTGGAATGCAGTAACGCAATATCAGCTCACTGCAACATCCGCCTCCCAGGTTCAAACAATTCTCCTGCCTCAGCTTCTCTAGTAG